CACTTTAGAGGAGAGATCTAAGGTTTACTCAAACCTTGATGTAAGTATTCAATCTTTTAATTGAATGATACATCATGTTTTATTTTTGTATAAAACTTGTCTCTATGTAATGAATCAAGATCTATGAATTAAAATCTCTCGAAAAGTTTTTAAAACTAGCATGTTTCCTAACAGTGCCGGCATAGTTTGTTTGTATGGTTCTTCAGCCGGCGTGTTTGGTTCTTCACCCGATAACATTGTTCTATGGAACCCTACAATTAGATATTTCAAGATTCTACCCAAATCCGAAATACCTCGTCCGCCACACTTTCATAAATTGAGAGGCAGTGTTGGATTTGGTTTCGATTCCAAAACTAACGACTTCAGGGTTGTACATATCTTGCGTTGTAAAGATTATGGCATCAAGGCTAGGCAAGTTGAGATTTACAGCTTGAATACCAATCGTTGGAGAAAATTTGATATCAGTAATGTGCCAGCTAAAATTGGACACCATTCCTGGAGCTCAGTATGTAGCAACAATAGGATCATTTGCTAGTGGGCCCGTGTAAAAGACATTGGTGGGGTGATCCTTTCATTTGATGTTTCTGATGAAGTCTTCTTTACCACACCAGTGCCATCAACTCATATGGATCTTTTCTTCAAGGATAAGCATACAAGGGCGATTGTGCCTTTCGATCATGACTCCATTGCAGTGATTGTGTATACTCTAACTGAACAGAAATCATACGACATATGGATGAGTAATGAATTTGGTGGTGTTGAGGGGTCCTGCACTAGACTATTATCTTTTGGCCCTTTTCCGGAATTGTATAGACCGTTGGGATTTTGGAAGAATGGTTTGTTTCTCCTATGTAGATCTAGCAAGTTGTTCCTTTACGATCATGGTACCCAAGAAATTAATGAACTTGGAATTGGAAATACAATATCAGTTCTCACTTTAGTCTTCGATTACAAGGAAAGCTTAGTTTCAGTCAATGGAGGAAATGTGTGACAACAACTGTAATACCCCGATAATTTTAAAAGATTTATTAATTAGGATTAATTATTTTATTTTATTTTTCAATGATTTATTTTATTTTATTGAGTGCTAGATTAATTATCTTATTTTAATTAAGTTATATTTCGTGATTATGTATGATGATTGATTGTTTGTGTGGTTGATTATTGATTGAATTATTGGTGTGTTGATTTTATTGGTATTATATGACTTAGTTGTAAATTCTTGTTTGTTTATGTGCTTCATGTAATTAGTTATTTTAATTTCTGTATTTAATTAATTATCTTATTTATTTAAATTAATTGGATTGGACTTAAGGAAAGTTGGACCAAAAGATGTGGTCTTGGGCTTGTATGAAACCTTATTGGGTTAATTAATGAAGGTCCGTAGTTATTTAATTATTTAAATGATCACTTTTGTATCAATTATATATATATATATATATATATATATATAATTATATATAAATATAATTAATTAATAATTGTTATGGAAAGATATATATATAGATATATATTTATTGATATTTATAAGTATATATGATTTAATTAACTAATGAGTTAATTATGGAAGGAATATATATTTATATATATATATGTTTATAGATATAAATTATTTAAAGATTATTATTTTAATTCATAATACTAGTTGGAATAGGATTTGGAATTTAAGGTGTATAAAAATACACATAAGGCTTTAGGGTTAAAGGTTTTACACGTTAGAAAAATAAAACAGACAGAGAGAGAGGAAGAAGAAGGGCTGACAAGGAGGAGGTCGGATCTGAAAAGGAGGACGTCGGAATTGGAAGAGATAATTAAAGCTTAAAGCGTCGGTTTCGTTTCGAAACCTTCAGGCAAGTTTTCTCTAACTTTCCTCTTAGAACTCATAAGGATTTCACCTTGAGTATCAAGGCTTTAATTAAATTTATTTGTTTAAAAATTATGGTTAGATCGGAATAATTAAAAAGTATAAACTATTATATTTGATTTTTAGATTATTGGATTTTAATTGATATATATATAGGTGTTATGTATATTTTAAAATCAATCTATAGGTGGATTTGTGACCCAAGAGAGTTAATTATGGTTTCTTTATTTTCTAGAATTGTTCTGTAATTTTCTGGAATTTTTCTGATATTTTTAGGAATTTATTAGGATTTATTTTCCTATTATTTGTTAGGAAAATAATTATATATATATATATATACTAGGTAACTGGCGCATGTGGAGCGGCGGCACAATAAAGAATTGATCCAGTGCGGCGCGGTGTAGGATAATAGGGTGTATACGCCAATTAGGGCCATTTGATTAATTAAACTTATGTGAATTGATATGGTGCATCGCGGCGCATAAAACTTTGGTGCGCATGTGTATCTGGACCATAGAAGTGGTCTGGTCAACTATGGGATTATTTGGTGTATTGCAGACCATGAGAAGATGGTGCACTCGCTGATCTGGACCTTAGATCTATTATAGTTAATAGAAAATAATCTAGTGTGAGCGTGTTCATTTGCGCACTCATTTATGACCATTGGATGCGGCATAAAGGAAGTGATGGATTCAGTGTAGTGAGCTCACGGTAGCTGAAAGAGCTTAGCCAATACCAGCACACAAGGAGGCTTGAATCCAGCGCGTGCAAGTGCATAGTAAGCACGTGGGCGCGCGTGGGAAACTATGTTGGCCTAATTCGACACTAGAAATTAAAACGGTCATAACTTAGTCATTTTAAATCAAAATTGGGTCATTCTTGAGCTCAAATTCAAGGATTTTTCGTCTTCTTTCCAATGGTACCAATTTCATTATCAGATTCCCATCCTACTAGGAGATATTTATGTTTTAGTGAGAAAGTGTCGGAAAACTATTTAAACCAATATGGAGTATTTAAAGGAAACTATTTCTGACATATTTAGTTGCACTAATTTGTGTAAATATAATAAATTAATAATTTGTTATGGAAGGAAGTGTGCATATATATATATATATATATATATATATAATTATTTATATATGGGTATATATAGTTTAATTTGTCTATGAGTTGTATGGAAGGATGAATATATATATATATATATGTATGTATGTATGTATATTGATTTTAAATAATCAAGGATTATTAAAGAAGGTGTTAAACACATATATACATTAAATAACATATGTGTAGGTATGTACATATATAAATCATTTAAGATGATTAATATTATCATTCTTATTTGGCATATCTTAATAGGCTGGTTGTTAAATTAATGATATGCGTATAATATGCATGTGATGGCTATGTATGATTTAGCGTATTGTTAATTTTAAAGTTAATTCATGGTTAAAGTGTGGGCATGGATGAATTGTCAAATGATTAAATATATTACCTAAATATTTGTATGAATAGAATACATATATGGAAAGCATGGATGAATTGCTAATTAAATGTATGAATAAATATACCTGTGGAGGCATGGTTGAATTGCCAATGTATAAATATACATACACGGAGGCATGGTTGAATTGCCAATGTATAAATAAATATACTTATGGAGGCATGGTTGAATTGCCAATATATAAATAAAAATATTTACAATGGCATGGTTGATTTGCCAAAGCATAATTACGTTGTTATGTGTTAGATGATTAAAATATCATCTATGGTTGTTGTATGTATGGATTGGATTAGGGTTAGATATTCTTAAATGAGAATAGTTTAGTACTTACTGGTTAGTGTATTATTTTACATTAATAAAATAATATTGGGGAAGACGTGGATGATTTGTCAAAACTTGGATTTTGGATATGTGATTTAAACAATTTAAATCATTATCGGGTTGGGATTAAATAGAGTATTTCTTTTATTATAATTTGTTGTTTAAATGATTAGACAACTGACTAGGATGGGATTAAGGTCAAAGGAGTTTTTATAAAATGAAATGGTAGATTGGTCTAGGTATGAATATTATTTTAATAATTATTTAATAGGTATGGAAATTTAATAAACCTATTAATGGATGTGATTAGTATAGTATATATAATTATATATAGACATGTATATCGTACTTTATTAAAGTTAAAACTTTATTAGGTTTGGTTTTAATCAGAGATGATCTACTTATTGGTTTTCAGAGGCCTGGTAGAGTGAACTTGCTCGTAGGGTTTAACCCACGATTTATTTTTCAGGTTATTAGAGGTTCCAGTCTCGAGGTTGAGGATCCGCAACTGGGAGACTGTCATTCGTCTATTCATCTTGTGTACTTTTAAATAGTATTGGATTATTGGATAATGTTTTAAGGGGTCCTTGAGTTATGGGATTTCCGAATTGTAATTGTTGGAGAATCATTAAGTAATATTTATTTATTAGTTTTCTTCAGCGGTTTATTTATTCTTTATTATTCATCTTTGTATTCTGTGCTTGTTAAATACTTAAATTGTTTTGATATCCCTTGATTTTGTGCGCGGACTTGATCAATCCGTGTTCCAAAATTAGGGGGTATTACAGTAACAAATCATGTAGTAGTAATTATGGATTGTTGTGCAGCCAACTCTACTGCAAGCTGCCTGGATGAACCATGGAGAGAAGGTTCTTAGTAATTTAAGTTGTGTTGCTCTTCGTTCTTTTTCTTCTACTACTATTTTAAACTTTTAGAATCATTGTGCCAAATGTTAGTTCTGTTTGTTTTCTTCTTCAAGTTTGTTTTGTTAACCATGATCATGCTGTTCCTTGTTGACAAATGTGCCATGACATCTGCTTATATCCGTGGCACCTTTCTTTGAAAATAGACATACTTGGCCAGCACTCGTCTGGCATATCAACAAATGTGCCATGACATCGGCTTACGCGGCACCTTTCTTTGAAAATAGACACACCTGGCCAGCACTCGTCTAAATAAGGACCAAGCGATCTTGAGCTACTTGGCTTGCAGCTAGATTTACTATTCGAGGAAGGGGTCGCTACCCTTCACTCTCCTGTGGAGGTACCCCTCTCCAGTTGGATGGGTCCCTCTTTCCCCTCTACCGCTTCTTTAGGTCCCCTCCCTCAGGAGGGACCTCAGATCTCTCTTACCCTTCCTATCCTCGGGCCTCCCCCTACTCTGGATCCAAGGGGGAAAGGTATCGAGAGGTCAGAGTTCTCGTGCCTCGAACCTCCACTCTGAACTTGGAGGGGCCTCGAGGACCAAGACTAGAACCGGGTCTCGCGGGGCCGAGAATGCGGTACCTTGAAGAGACCCTGTTCCCCATCTTTGAGCCTGGGAGTCTGATGAAATGTGGACAGGTGGCTAGGATCCAAAGAATCGTCCTCCCCCAAGGACCAGCACGAGGGGGAGAGGGTTGTGATATCAAAGTTCGAGCTCTGGGTGGGACTGAGGAATGCATTAATTGTGAAAGACCATTGATATGACCTGCATTAATTAAGAGACGTCATTCCCCTCTGGACCGGTGGGCAAAGCGTCTGGGCCCACCTGACAGTGTCTCCCCAGTCAGGGTGAAGGACCTTTGACCCTGCGGGCAAAAGGAGGCTCACCCCTGTGACCAATGGGCATTGCCCAACTAAAAGCATTATAAATAAGGAGAGTTAATTAGTCTTAAAGGCAAAGTTAAGAAATCTTAATCACCCCACACTACAGAGCTCGAACTTACAGAAGTATCATCATACACCACCTTCCCTCTCTTACTTTCTGATTCTAGAGAATCCTTCGTGTCGCTTGGGCCCCCACTTGAATACTGATATCAGCACTCTTGGCTTATGTGTTACATAATCCTCCTTCAATAAAGAACTATCATCAGCATTCCTCTACGATCATGTGTGATGATTGGGATGATAAGTCACAGTCACGTGTTTGTTGAGGAAAGGTCAATAATATCATCACCTTATGAATATTACTAATTAGAGAGTGGGCATACAATTACTTCATGGTGATTTGAACATCTCTATACATTAAGCTGTGTACACGTGACTTTTTCAAATCTAAGCAAAGATTACCCATATATATATATGAGCACTAAACCAATTGCAACTCCCACAAAGCAACAACCTTCAAAAACCCTTCTTTTTTCCATACTCTTCTTCTCTATTTTTGAGTAGTCCTGTAAGTTTTTCATTCATATGGCAAATTTGAGGTCCTTGAATCAGGAAGCCATTTATATATACACACACACACACATATAGGGGTGGTTTTATCTTCAAAGCCACATGTTGGTGGGGAAAGATGTGGACTGTGTACTTGGGAAGTCAAAAGGTGTGTCATATATTTTTTTGATATTTCTTTCTACAACTACTGTTATTGCGCACCTGCTTCTTGGTCTTCTTCTTCGATCTGTTCATCATGTTGGTCTCCTTGTCCTGTTTTGCCTTGCAATGTGAAAGAAGAGCAAACTTCATTGTTACAAACTAATTAACCCAATTTAATTGTGAAGAAGAAAATAGGGAAAATAGTATTATACCTTTGCAGGATCAAACACACAACGTTCACATTCTGGCGGAAGATAGACAGATGATCAAACACCATGAATATTAAAATTCTGTTTATTGGTGGTTCGAGTGCAAACAACCAATAAAACAGAATTTCAATATTCATCGTCTCCCAACAATTTAAAGTAGTACACCATCGGGTGGAACTCAAACTTGGAAAGGATCCTTTCAAAGTCATGTATATATATATATATATATATGATGCCTTGGCTGGGAGGTAAATGAGAACTTGGCAACCCCTCCAACATGATCGACTCACCTAAAAAAAAACACGTCTCGCATTACTCACCTAACACCACCCCATGCATGCAGATTGAGGTTCAAATCAACACTCGTGGTGGCTGAATGTATAAGTTAGCTCTCTATCTTCATTCGATTAATCTGTGTAATGGACTTTTAAGACATGAAGAATCACTCTCAGGTCCAGTCATGCCCAACGACTGTTAAATTTGCATTGCAACATGCAAAAGAATGTTGCATTTTTCTATGGTAAAATCTAACAAAAGTTTAATTTTCATAAAACAAAACATTTATATATATACGTAACATGTCAATTTGGAAATTAATAAATTAATAGTAAAGAAGCCCGAGATATTTTTATACGTTTTGAAATACCGTTTACAAAGGGTGTTTTTTTTTATTTTTTTTATTTTTCTTTCTGAATTTTAGAAATATAAGGAGATGGAGGAGTACTCCTAGAAATATAAGCAATTTATTTGTATATTATCATTAAATTTATATTTAGATAAAAAGCTAAATTTATATTATTAAAAATGAAATATTAACTTCAAGAACATATATAAATTGCTCTTTCACTAAAAGATTAATTAAAAAAATGCCTATTTTATTTTAATTGGCAACTTGTTTTATTATTTGGTAAATTATATTATTAAACAATTACCTATTTTATTTTAATTGGTAATTTGTGTTTAGTTGTTTTTAACAATTCTGATTATAAATGAGTTCAAAAACCATGACCCCCTTGTACTTTTAATAATAATATTGATTGATTATTATTATTATTATTTTTTGACTTGACAAAGAGAATTAGTAGGAGGAAGAGAATTCAAACTTAGGATCAGGACACTTATGGCATGTCCTTTTACCACTTGGACAACATTTGATAGATTATTTTATTAAATAAGGTAATAAATTATTGCAATGAATAGTATGAAATCTCGGCAGTATGAGAAAAAATTGTGTTTTTGCTCTCTTTTTCCTCTCTTTTTTGGGAAAGCTACGACTGATCTCGCCTCTCTTTTTATTTCTGACTTTCTTAGGATTCTTTACCCTAAAGAACTGGACTTTGGACTTTAATAAAACCCACTTGAGGTTTCCTCCGTATAAAAAGAAATAAACCCAAGATTCCCATCAATATCAATTGTTAGCCATCTTTTGATACCAAAACCCAAGACAGAAGCATTGAAATGAAGCCTATCACTGGATTGAAACCCACCCATATCATCTAACAGACCAATTCTGCTACTGTTATAGTTTGTTCTTCCATTTCGGTACACATCATAATCAGGATTAGGCCAATATTGGCATGATATCTCAGGCCCATCATGGATCAACCTCAATACATTATCATTATCATAAAGTAAACTAAAGTAACCAGAAGCAAAACTTCCATTTTTCATTGCAGATATCAACTTCTTGCTCTTTGTAAAGCTCTGAGAAGGCAAAAGAGTATCAGTTGGAAAATCAAAGTTTTGCCAGAGAATTTTACCATGTGGATCCTTTAAAACAAGGTTACCTGTATTATGAAGCTCTGCTCTAGCAACATCAGTGGAGGTGGTATTAGTCTCCCATACAATTGAGCCATCAATATCGGTCAAGACCATGGCTCCATTTTGCCCTAGAGATATCTGAGAACCCTGGCTGTTGACAGGCTTGTCTCGATTCGCCATCCAAACAACTGTTCTGTCTCTGGCATTTGTGAACCAAATTGCAAACCAGTAAGCATTGCTACTTCCCACTCTGTAGAAACCACAACTGAATGAATTGTCTGGGGAGGTGATAAGGTCTGAGGCATCCTCAACTGAGAGAGAAGAGCCTCTCCTCAAATAATTCTGAACCTTTGAAGTTGCAGAAGAGATGAGAATCAAGAAAAGAATGATAAGATAAGGAGATGAAAGATTTTGGCTTCTCATTATGATTCAAGAGTTTGCTTCAGAAGTTGGTTGTTGAGAAGAATATGTTATTTGAGCATTATTGTCTAATGGATTATGTAAAAGAAGAACGAAAACATTTTGCTGACAAGAAAAATAAAAAAATAAAAAAATAAAAATAAAAATAAAAATAAAAAATAAAAATTGGATGAAACTGCCCCATAGGTTCCATATGGTCAACATAGCAGGCTTTCTTTTGTCCGATTAGCTTTGTTGTTTCTTTGAACAGAGTATATATTTGCAAAAAAAATATCCATTACAATGCTTTTTTATTAAAATAATTATTCTCAGACTTGAATACTCCAATAGTTTAAATCCACTATGATGTCCATGTTCAAGAAATTATATAATGAGTAGAAATTCTGATAATAAATTAGTCTTATTTGTGAACTTTAATCTTTTTATGGAGGTCATTTAAAATAAATTGTGCGAAACCAACTAAGATAAACCATTAAAGACTTCCATCATCAACATTACGTTTAAATTGTGCGAAACCAACTAAGATAAACCATTAAAGACTTCCATCATCAACATTACGTTTTGGAGGTCCTACATTCCCACGTGAAGAAACATTAAAGAATTTTAAAGGGATTATTACATATAAATGGGGTTAGGGCACCATATTTACTAATAGGCTGAGTCAAAGTCCCATAATTTTTCTAAAATGCGTTTGACCCAAAAGCTGAGGTGGCACGTGAAAAAATACTGTTTCATATTTCTGTTGCCTAAAATACCCTTCTTCCTATTTTATGTGTTGCCTAAAATGCCCTTTTCTACACTTATCTAATTTCAAGCCCTAATGCCTTTTTCACATTCCATTCGTGCCGCCCTCTCTCTCCCCCCTTCTCTGTAAACAGTGATCAACAAACCCCTAACCATTTTCGTGCCTTTCGTGTGACGAAGAAGACGATGTACAGCGAACAGCGAACAGCGACCGGCGATCGGCGATCAGTGAGCAGCGACCAGAGGGGAACAACGGCCAGCGACCAGTTGTTCAGTTCTACCAGGACGAAGGTACCTTTTCATTCTTGAATGCTTTCTGTTCATCTTGTTCCTTTTGTTGCTTAACAAAATCATGAAAAATGTGTCATCCTTAGCAGGATTTTTGCTGATTTGGTAACTAACTATTTTTTATTTTTTATTTTTTAATTTCTGTGAAAAGAGAAGAATTTTTTTTACTAGAAGGTGTTTAAAGTTCACACCCAATTTTTCTTGCCTTCTTTTAGTTTCTACCCGATTCATCACCAACTATTTGGCACTGAATAGCCATTTTCTCTCTGGTTGTTCAGTTCAGTTCTACCAGGACGAAGGTACCTTTTCATTCTTGAATTCTTTCTGTTCATCTTGTTCCTTTTGTTGCTTAACAAAATCATGGAGTTGTCATCCTTAGCAGGAGTTTGGTTTTGATTTTTATTTTGAGATTGTGAATTTGATTTTGAATTTAATTTAGAGCAACGACATTTGAAGAGTTGCAATTATCAACCTGGGCAGCTTGTGCAACCCCTACAAATTAATTAAAATAGAAAATAGCCCTTTCCATAACAAAGACAGGATCCCACTTAGTCCCATTATCATTATTGTTATTATTCTTTAAGGTTTTTTTTCCCCCCCTTTTCGGAAGGTATTATTCTTTAAGTTCACACACATGGAGATTTGATTATTATGTACATTAGATTCTGTTATTAGTTGTTTGGGGAGAGGAAATTATGGAGATTTTATTTTTGTGTGTATCTATCTAATAGTATGATTGTATGAATTTTAGAAAAAGCATTACAAGGGTTCCAATTACTTAAAAACTACTTCAAAAAGAAGTACTACAATATAATGAGAATAGAAAAGTAATAAATAAGAAAATTGAACTCCCAGGCTTCCGTTCAATTTTATTTTCAACTTTTTAAATTTATAATTAAAAATCATGTATTAGTATAAGATCAAACCACATCAGCCGTTAGTGGAGAGTAACTACTCAAGGATGAGTAGGTAATTTATAGTTAGACTAGAGTATCATGGGACACGGTAAATTTGTTTTGCTTTGGTTGAATCAGTTTCGAGCTTGGGTAATTGGACCCAATACCAACCAATTAGCCCAACAATGTCAAACTGAGCTATTGTATTAAGTTGGTGTTACAAACTTTGGGCCAATTTCTAATGCTTTGCGTGAGGCTTGAATAAAGATTTGTCATCAAACTGAGCTTGAGTTAGGAGCAAATCTCATCCTGACCTATTCAGGCTGTTCTTGAATAATGGTTGTCACAAATTAGTAATAACATGTGAATCGACGAATTATAAGCAAAATTGAAATAAGATATGTTTTTTTGTAGCTATTTTTATTTCTATAGCAAAATTATTAATTTATTCATTAATTATGCCAAGAATTTTGCTTACTCATATATACAAATACCACTATATATTTCGAAATAGGTCTGATTTTGTTACTTTGAAGAGAGCTCATTACTGCGTTCTAGAACTTGTTTTAGTTTGGTCTAGTTTCAGAAGTTTTTATTTCATGAAAATTGAATTTTTGAGAAAAGACTAAAAGCTTGACAAAATATATATAAATTGAAAGCTTGACAAATATGATAAATATGACCTTTTTTTTTTCTTTGAGTACATCCCCACAATCCATTGTAAATAACATTTAAAATTAATAAAGATAAAATTTAAATACTTGCAGTAGACGAGAAGAAAGGAGAGAGAAGAATTTAAAATTAATAGCGAAAAAATTTAAAAACTTGCAATAAAAGAGAAGAAAGGAGAGAAGTATAATTGACAACTAGTCGAAAAGAGTGGAATCGGAAAAAAAATTTCAATAAAATCTCTTTCCAACTCACTCATTCCGACTAACTGTAATGTCTGTAAATTAAAAAGGCAAAAGAAAAAGAGAAAAGAAAATAAAAATTGGTGGGGCCCACAATTGTTTTAAGTGGTCATAAGACCACGTTTTTTTTTTCATTTTTTCTTGTTCTCTGCTTTCTTCTCTCCCGTAGCCTCTCTGTTCCTCTTTATTTTTTTTTTCTTTTACAACTTCAAATCTTGATTGCTCTCTCAATCCTTGGTAGATTTGAGAGCCGTTTGAGGCAAAACGACAAGCACGACGAGCTCTACGTGCTAGTACCAAAAATTTCAGCTTTTGGTCCTCTTTGGGAGCTCGAATTTAAGAACCCATTTCTAGGGATTTTGCTCATTTTGAGGTAGTGGCATCTTAATCCACTCCTTTCTTGTTCTATTGTGAATTACACCTCCTTGTTGTGTCAAACATGTTTAATTGGAAGTTAATTGTATCTATGATTGTATGAATGATGTCTAGAGAATTTTCAAGAGCTTGATTATGACTTGTTTCATGTGTAAAGTATGTTTAGATGATGTTTTATCATGCCCACTACGTGTTAACATGCTGAAAATGACTAATGAGAACATATTTATTTAGATTGTGCCAAATTTTCCATTATTATAATATTGAGATTATATGTACATCCATGCACATGTCATTGGGATGCATGAAATGGGAGAATTTGTCTTGAAATGAAAATGGGGGAAATTTTGGGAGAAGAGTTTTGTCAAATAGTTTTGATAAACCCGGTTGCTGCGGGGTTACCAACGAGCTGGAGGTTAATATAGCCTAGAGGGGACTAGGGAGTCGCCCTAGCATGGTTGAGCTATTCGGGCCCCTCGATGACGCTGCGGGGTTACCAAAGGTCGAGGGACGATAGCCAATCCTCCTCTCGTGTTGCGGCGAGGTTACCAAACGGCGGGCTGTATTAACATTTGAAAGTAATGGTTTGGTGAATGAAAATGGGGAGTGGCATTAGCATGCATTGCATTTCATTGCACTGCACGGTTTATAATTGGAATTGACGTGCATATTGTTTTAATTCCCTATATTGCTTGATCCCTATTTCCCAATGGCCTATGCTTTGTTTGGATTCACAAGGACACAAGAATTGTATCTTAAGTGTCACCTACTGAGCTTTATGCTCACCCTACTATTTATATTATTTTTTTCAGGTCTTGGAAATGAACCGGTGGACGACAATCCACCTCAAGCTTGAAAGTTGTTAGAAGGTTGTTTGCTATTTTGTATTTTGACCGTTTTATGTATATTCATAGTTGTGGGGATGTAACTAAGTTAGTATTCATGGCCTTGTAACTTAAGAACGAACTTATCTTTTGTTTAATGTAAATGAAACTAATGGAATTATGGTATATGTTTCTATGCAATTGTATCATGTAGTGTTGTAAGACAGGGACTTTAAATCTTAACCATGTATTTTGGGACTGTAATTATGAGAATTTAGATTAATTGGTGTGTGGATGTTCCACTATGAGAGGAACTATGTTGAGGTATAATGAACGGATGAATGGGATGCTGGATGATATTATGTATTTTGTATATTGGGACAGGTTGTTGAAGGCCCATTTTTAGGGGAGGTTATGCCGAATTTTTTTTAAATTTTGGCATCAGCTAGGGTCGTTACAAATTTGGTATCAGAGCGACGGTTCGAAAACCATTAGGACGACGGGTAGAAGCCTACATAGGATTGCGTGGGATGTTAATTTCATTATGTATTTGACTATTTGCTACTTGTTTATTACTTGAAAAAGTATGCTTAACTGCTTACTTGCTTACGTGCTTATGTGTTTATATGCCTATATTAATGTGTTCATTGCATAGTATTACATGCTAAATGTTTGTATAGTATCTTTTTGCGTTGGGTTATTCACGGTTGGACCTTAGTGTTATCGTTATTGAATTATTTCCTTTGTTTTATAGAACGATGTCACGGCGTGAGGAAATCAGGGAAGTTGGCCCTAGACCGACTAGGGGTGTGTAATGTCTGTGTCAATATATATATATATATGTGCATATGTGTATATATTTGTGTATGCAGTGTAATTTAAAACAAAAAGAAAAAGGGAAAATGAAAAGGAAATTGGGTAGGACCCACATGCACTTAAAATGGTCATGAGACCACTTTTTGTTC